GGGGGAAGGATGGAAAGCAATCCCCAAGAATTGGATTTCACAGGTTGTGGGTCAATACGGGACATCAGAAGCATCCATGATCCATGTCATGCCAAGATTGTGAAATCCATGTCTACTAGAGGGATGGGGTGTGATTCGGCCCAACGATAGACTCAGAGCCATCTCAGTTGGAATTTATTCACCAGTGGTGATAGGAATGGATGCTGACCAAACTCAGAAATGCACAAGAGTAGTCATAAGAGAACACACATATGTGCAAAGAAATCTGAACAAGGTTCCAAGAGTATACACTTGTTTTTACAACCTTGTAAAACAGCCCAAATGGACATGCTTAATGTAATATTGCGAAGCTATGAGTTGTCCTTCAAAGACAAACCCAGGAGCACAATCGTGCGCACAGACAAACTGATATTGGTCTATGGTACTCAGCACTTCTAGCTGTCTTTTCCAGGCAGCCTGTTTTTTCCAGGCTGTCTTGGAACCCGCACAAAGGTATGTTTCTACTAGCTTCTTGTTACTACTAGTAAGGCACTTGTTACTACTAGCGTGGCACTTGTTACTAGTAGCTTATTGTTTCTACTAGCGTCTTGGAACCCGCACCCACATCGACCCCCACATCGTCCCACGGCAGCCCAGCTCCAAAGGTTGCGTTCTTGGATCCGGTGGCCGCGCACCTGGAGACGCGCGAGTCCGGCGGCAGCTGGGCGGAGTCCTTGCGGATCGACAACAACTGCCTGGTGAACAGCATTCATCCCAGCTGGTCCTGGAACATGTTCATGGCAGGCGCCCAAAAGAGTGGTTGGGTGGGTGGGAGATGGGCCGTGGTGGAAATAGAACCTATCTTGTGAACCAAGAGGCATGGTTGGTCATGATCATCGCTAGATCGTAATGGGTGTTAGAAGGTGTTAGTGGTGATGGGCCTTGTCCATCTCCAGATAACATATTGTAGGCAACTATGTCACAATGTCCTAAGTGTCCCAATATTTATAAATTTTGCCTCCGTGTTGAAGGGGCGGGCAGCAAGATGACCCGCTTGGGCTCCTGTCCCACGTCCGAAAAGAAGGAGATGGACCGCCCTGGCAACCACGCACCTACCCCAACCACCGACTCGAGTTTTGGTAGGACTGGAGATAATTGAGCGAGATCTTGGCAAGGGGTGGGTAGTCTATGAAGCACGGAGCGCCCGAGTGCATCACATCTTACCTGATTTGTGCTTTCCAAATTAACCTTTTGATTCATGGATAGTAGCTTCATGCAACTTGGCAGGGTGTCCAAAAATAGGGCAACAACGGGACATCCAGCCTCTATCGTCGCGCTGTCAGCCAAGAGCATGTTTCAATGCTTAAGAATTAAGAACTTTACCGATATGTTTGTCCGCATCGGCTCCTAGTCTTAGATATGCTCAGACTCAAGGTGTTTTTAAATCCGTTTTTTCATGCCAGTCTCGAACAACACTGGGAGCCATTCCAATGTCCAACAGCAGAGGGGCACCGGCACTGTTCTTCGCGCATCAATTGCATCCATTCCTCGGCGTGCCACCGGTGCAGGGCCGATAGTGGGGGTGGTTGACTTCATTCTGGGGCGGCATCCATTCCAGTCCCACCTTCATGTTTTTGGTCGTTTGGGATCGTTTGGGTGTGTCGCTCCAGCCAGCCGGCCCCCTTGCAGGGCCCACCTTCACGTCGCTGGTGTGTCCCTCCAACTCGGTCGATGAAGTGCGGCAACAAGCGCTCATCGACGCGGCGGGCGCGCGCGTGGCCAGCAAGGCAGAGCGGTGCGGTCGATCTGGGAGAAGGGCAGGGAGGGAGGGTCATGCACCAGATAAAACCATGACAAAGTGAAATGACCCACATGTTGCAGCTGATGAAAAACTATGCATGGAAATCTACGTTCTCTAAGTACTGATTTACCTCTTCAAGAGCCGATGTGACCAGAACGGAAGGATTCAGGGAGGGTTGGTGGGTGTCCGGAACCGGCATTTAAAGCTGCCATTTGCAGGTGGACTGAAGGTTCCGATTGAAACACACAAAAAACCAAACAACCCATGGATGATCTCGTTCCCAGTTGATGGCCTCGCTCGGCTGTTGGGAACGGAGCTCCGGGAACGGAGCGGAGGCCATCAACGACTACTACTCCGGCAGTTGGGTGGCCATTAGCACCATCACTCTGCAGCTCGGATCAGCAAGAGATCTCGGATATACGGATATACTTTGTTTTTTTTACATCAGAACAGATCTCCGTGATCCGTGACCAAGACATGTAGCAGTGTTTGGAGGTTTGGGAGAGGGTGGTGGACTCCATTCCTTTTGCCCTTCCCGAGGCTTTAAAGGGTCTCTCAAAACATCTCAAAATCTAAAATGTTGAGACCCCAGATGAGCCCAGACTCCAGACCCCTCCAAGAGGATTCGGGGTCTGATTGCTCACCCATGTGTCGAGACTTCACGTCTGGGTTTGGAAGCTGCCCGAAGGTTCCTTAGACCCTCCATGGCAGGGGTCGCAGGGGTCCGGGCCCTCAAAAGTATCTTTGAGGGCTTCGGATTCTTTGGGTGGAAAAAAGGGATTGGAAAATATTGGAAAGAGGTCTAAGGATCTCCCGGTTCATTCCGGATGATGTGGCAACCCCGCCGGAAACGACAACCTCGCCCGGACGGCCTGTCGTTCGATCGCCCGATGTTCGCCAGCTCGGACCTTGGATGTGTCTCGATCGTGTGTATGTGTGTGTGTCCAGGCATGTCTAACCACTCCTTAGAGATCCAGTCGTACCTTCTCAGCTACTTGGACCCTCCTGGCACCTACATGAGAGTGTCTCCAATCACCTTCTGAGAAGGTACTGGGATTTTCAGGGACGTCGTTTTTTTCCAAAGACTTAAAGCCGTAGACCCAACTAAACCCTGGTTCACTACTCGCTATTCCTGCCTGGGATCTGGCGACCTCAGGAACGGCGACCTCGTCCGCGCGGCCGAGAACGCCGGGCTCCTGGAAGCCACGCCGACGACGACGACCGGTGGTTCCAGCCACTCGGAGGGCTGCGCAGGGCGAGATGCGCGGCGTCAGGACTCAGGACCACCGTCACCGTCAGTGAAGGGAAAAGGGAAAAGGATTGGCACCAGTGGGCCATGTTGATTTTTGGTTGTTATCTTTTAGATTCATGGAGTGTTTGAAGGCATCGATTCGTATCTGATTCGTTTGTTCGATGTTGCTCGATGTTTGACCAGTTTACAGAGGGTATCTAACAACCTAGAGCCTGATTGACCCCTGTACATGGTCTTTTCCTATCAAAACAGAGGTCATGTTTGGGTTCTAGGTAACTGGAAGTCTGGAAGTGATGAGATGCGCCATTTATTTAGATCCATGTGCACTGGTCCAAGGCTTCGGCGCACCGAAGAGAAGATATGTGGTCAGTGGGTGGGTGGCTTGACACACCCGCCATTGAATAACTGGTAAGCGAGCCAACTATCAAGTGAGTCCCCATGAGACTGTTCAATGCGATTCATTTCTTTTGATCAGTACGTCAGAATATGATGATCTATGGTGCCAGTCAACTGGCGATCTAAGATGCAGTCGGTCCCTTGGATGGTTGGATCTTCACCCTTAAAGCGGCCTCAGGCACCTCCGCAACCACAACAAACGCGGCTACCACAACCACCACGGCCACAGCAACGACGACGACGACAACGACAACGACAACAACCACGACCACCGCTAGTGGCACGAGCTGCTCCTCCACAACGGAAGACTGCAGGTCTACAGGCCACGGGCCTATGTGGGCCAATCAAAACGCAACGGACTGGTGGATTGGCAGAAACTCTTGGGGAATCTGGAAGAAGGCTGAAGAAGGCGTAAGAGTTGTTTTGGCATTCTTAAGCCATACATGACTCACAAGGCATTGCGGGAGGGTCATCCTGATTGACATGTCAGTCGGCATGACTGAGGGTAAGTACTCATGGTTTTGTGGAGCAACATCTGATTTGATAGATCCCCTGGATATGTCAGACATCCGAACTTATTCCGATAAATAGTCAGCATATAGGCAAAATGTGGAACACGTCAGACGATGTCAGACGCAACTGAAGCAGAGTTTGCTTTGACGTTTCTTTGGAGTTTGCTTTGATCTGTGGCTTTTGCTTTGGCGTCTTCATGTCGTGTGAAGCGGCACCAGGTTGCTGTGCAACAGCTGGCTACAGCTGCTGCTCGGACCGAACTTCCGGAACGACGTCACGTCGTCTCCAGGCGTTTGGTCTTTTCTCTCCCAGTTTGGACGTCACATGGTATTACGATGTATTACGTGGAGTGAAACCCCGCCCTGTTGGGTAGTCGGAGTTCATATGTGTTTCCTCTTTAGGGGCCTTTTTCCCATCCACGTCCATCTAGTAGAGGAAGAGCAAGAGTGTAGCATGCTTGATGTTTCGTTTCGTGGGGTGAAAAGCCACCTGTTTCGTGTGATCTTCGGAACTCATCCGAAATTGGGGCCGCTTTCCCCACATAGCCATGAGAGCCTTAAGGGAGTGGACCATGATGTAGAGTGTTGAGGAAACACTTCCATTCCGAGCATGGTTGAGGTGGGTGAAAGGAGAGTCTAACTACCTTTAAACTAAGGATGTGGTTGGAACCCGCCTAGTGATAGTCAGTCTAGCTTGCGAGTTAGTGGACATCTCCCTGACAGAGCTAATTCTACCGGAGCCTCTTGGAGCAAATACTCCTTATCATGCTTCTCATATCTTCTCATTATCATTCAAGGATTGTTTGATGATTTTGAGACCTATACTTCGGTGGGAAGGGCCTTTGCAGATGGATGGCAAAATGATTCAAAAATGTTTTGTCCGAGGATAGAAAACGAGACCTAGATTTGATCGGACACCAGTCAGTCACCAGTCAGTCATCATGTTCCAAAGATCCTGATCCATCTTCCTCCGACAGTTCTTTGTCGCAAGCCACAGGAAAACATCCGTCATGTTGCTGCCAAGGTGGTGTCAAGCTGTGTGCACCCATCCACCCACCCACCCACACCCGCGCACACTTGTCCCTGCTACCTGCTGTCACGTGCCAGCCCGCGCCGCTCTGCCTTCCCCCGGGTCGCCGGGTGTTGAGGCTACGAGAAGGATCAGTACTGGGCGGGGTGCCGTCAGAGCTGTACACCTGGAGCAGCGAACCCCAACGATCCCGTGGATGCCTGGAAGAACTCCGGGACCCGGCCCGGGCGGGGTTCCGGGGGCGGGGTTGGAAGTGTTTTTTGGGAGTTGGAAGCAAGCTTGAGGGAGAGCAAGGTTACAATAGTCCACTTATACTTTACGGGGGCTGTTGTGTAAGTCCATGTGATAACAGGCATTCGGGTGCTTTGTTCTTCAATGTGCCACTATGTGCCAATTTGCAATGCATGAAGAGAACGATTGTAAAATATGATTTGCATGATATTCCATCATCCATTGCAAAACGGTGTGAGTCATGTAAAAAAAAATCGTGAAGTTGAGCTGCCAGGCAAGTGATGTACTCCATCAATCTCCATGTTTTGGGGGCAGTGCTGAGGAGTACCGAACACCATGGTCTTGTGTGGTCCTTGGAACATCTACCACCACCACGATTACCACGACCTCGACGTCAAGCACACCCATGACGTGGCACGGCTGCTTTTTAAGCCGGCAGGAAACGGATGAGATCCGCAAGTGGACGAAACTCCAAACACATATTTACCTATAAGGCCATTTCGTTGCAACCAGGTCTCATAACATTACATTTGGGTCTCACATGTGGATCACATGCGGCCGTTAGCTCCCAAGTGATGGTCTGAATATGTCTGAATGGTGCATTGAACTAATGTCAGAAAAGGACACGTTTAGAACCAAGGTTGGCATTAGCAGGTTGTGTTTAATGCAAGAAATGTTGGCAGATGTTCTTCGTTTGTGACATGCCATGCTCATTCTGGGCTGTGGAAATCCATTGAACAATGGATCGGCGGAAGCTGCTTGCTTCAAACCAGTGAGATTTGGCGTTAAGCAATGTGCTTTTAGGGTTTACAATGTGACATTGCTTAGCTGCCTTAACTTCCCTTGAGGTTTTTCAGGTCGCTGGCAAAGCCAGATGCGCAACGTGGTGAAGAGAAGTCTCGGAGCTCTGAGGGGCTGCAACCTTTGAGGGCTGTGATCAAGAAGTCCAAGCAGCCAGGCCCTGTGAGATTTGGATTGGAGGCGCTGTTGGAATTTCAGAATTCCTGCACAGAGATAAAGGAGATGGGGGCAGCTTCTTCATCTAAGATGAATGAGCCAGTTTCACGAAGGCGTCCTAACTATGACAATAGGAAGAGATCCTTTTTTTGCGAGCAGCCGGCAACCAAAGACTATTGAGAGCCTTAATATAATACGCCCACTTTTACACGTTCAATGTTTTGTTTGTTTGGTGAGTTGTTCACTGGCACCAGCCTTTCATTTGTTCATCCTAGGAGAAGCGAGCATGCTGCATCCCAGGAGCGATTGAACAAGCTTGAGAAACAGCACAAATGTCGCTGTTCAAGAGGAACCTGTTATTCCAAGATCGACCACATTAAGAATTCTTTGCTCCGATTTCTTCAACTCTTCTGGCACATGTCAAAGAATCTACAAGATCTCTTCGCTAGATGCCAAGTTGTTGTTGTTGTTTCTCACTGTTGTTTTAGGTCCTTGTTGCATAGTCATGCCAACACTACTCCGGCAAACAAAAGCTGCTTTCTAAGATCCAGAAGACAGTGGGCAAGATCGTGCCTGGAAAGGCGCGAAGGAAGTGGTACCTTTTGGGCCAACGCATGTCTCCGAAGTGCATAGTCGCCACATTGGCCATCGGTAATGCGAGAGTGGCACGGGTGCTGGGTGGCCAGATGGATCGGCGCTTCCGAAAGTGGGGCGGTGTCATGTGACTGAACAATCACCTGTTTTTTCCAGCTACTTTGTCTCATAGTCAATAGGCCTTCGCCTCTGTCTGGTAAAGTTAGAATGACCGAGGGGTCATACAAATCCGCAGTCAAGAAGAAGGAGATTGACCTATTCTTGCTGGACACATATTTGAAAGCGGCAGGAATGCTGCCGGACAAGTTTCATGTCATGCAATGGGCCGGGATGGACATGTTGGAAGGATTTGACTTCACTGCATGCTTCGAGCCTCACCCGTGAGGTTTCAACGTGGAGGCCTCACACGTGAAAAGCGTGTGGAACATTTGGCGGCGGAACTGGATTCCATGGGCGACGATGTCGAGGAATCGGAAGGCGGGGGGGTGGAGAATGAGCGACAGTGCAAGTCAAATTTCATTGAAAACCATGTTTGGCCTGTTCGCACAAGGCTCAGAGTCAGAGGCAGCGGATGATCCCAGTGATACTTTGGCTGTTGAGGCTGAAACGTTGGAGAGCGATATGGAGTTGAAACTGCACATTCTGGGTCTCAACTCATGCTATACCCAGCTTTTTGGTTGAATTACCTGTGAGTTGGAAGGCACACGAACTACTGGTGAAGGATTTATGCACGCTAGCCCTAGGTATGTGGACTCGAATCACGGCAGGAACATCGATGCTCTGCCCACACGCGTGTTACCACCAGGCACCATTAAAATGCTATGGATTCAAATGGGTCAAACCCATCGGATATCGCAGCTTGAATGCCACAGAGTGGAGTCAGTCATCTCATGGACTCTTCATGTTCTGGAGCTGAGTGAGGTACCAGACGTTTTGGCGTGCATTCCAAAGATGGAGAAACATCATCAGGTTCCAAAGTCCAAGCTCACACGCAGCCTGCGACGACTGCTCTGATTGCAAGAACCTCTTTCAAACAACGACAGTTTCTTGTCGTCTGGTACTGCTGTGACTGGTATGTTCCTTGAAGTGCTACTGGCCTTTTTGCTCCGCAAGGACGCTCAAATGCGATTCGAGATTGCAAAGGCATATCGGGAACATGTTGACTTGGTCAAGAAGGACAGAGAATTGGAGGAATATTTCCAGGTCAGCTGGGAGTCAGACGCAGTGGGGATGGCTCGTTCCACTGAACATTTGTGTGCCAGGGGTGCGATCCTGTGTTGCAGCCAGGCGCACCGATGTGCATCCACATGGAAGCTCGACTAAATTGTTCTTAAATGTGTCCCTGCACACTTGGCTTTGGCTTGGTGCATTTGGCCACACACAAAGGACGGAATGGATCAGGCCAAGTGGTCGATCCCTCGGAGCCGCCACACCATCATCACAAAAAAATGAATCCGGGCAACGACCTAAGTGTAAGGTCCAGGGCGTTTGGATTCATGGTTTGATCCTCTCCCTCTATGTCCTAGATCCACGCTGCCCCAGTGATGCAAGCACGATATTGGAAACCGCAACGCGTTCATTAGAAGACGCCATGGTTATTTGCCGCGAGCAAGGGGTGCCAATACCAAACCAGTTGCTGATCTGGGTGCTTCGCTGTAAAAACAAATGTTTCTTTTATATTTCGTCGTCTGAAGCAAACGACTTGGTACATCCACACCTGGCCACACCCAAGGCAGATAATTGCGTACGGGAGAACAAAAATGGCAGTGTATTGAGATGGCTATGTTATCTGATCGCTTCAGGGCGCACGAAGGTAGCAAACATATCCTTTTCCAGGGTGGGCCACACGCACGGGGCGCTGGGTGCCTTGCTTAGCTTGGCTGCCTTGAAACACAGTAAAATGAACATTACCCACCAAACGTTTTAAACCTGAACAAGTCAGCCTAGCCTCGCTTGGTGAAACTTGAGTGTGCCAACGTCAATGAACCCAATCGGCAAACTAAGATCAACTGTATGGATTATTAGCGATATGCTTCAAATACATTGACGTTCTTTGCGATGGCCCTGACATCGCCCAGAATCTTGATCAAGTACTAAGTTTATGTGTTGAATCTGGACAACTGATTGTGTTCAATGCAGTTTGCAGCTTCTGAGGAAGATTCAAGATGTGTTGACGAAGATTGGGATTCAACAGTGGATAGGACCACATGCAAAAGTGCAGGTACACTACATCTCGGGCACGCGAGACTTTAAAAACTGGTTCTGTGAATGCACCATAATAATGCTGCAACTTGTCATGTTGCCCTTATTCTCCCGTTCACCAGCTCCGGCTCAGGTTGAAGAAAGCTCCAGTGACCTTCAGTGGCGGGCTCAAGGTGGATTCCACAGGGCTCCACAGCTTCACGTGCATGAGACGTGAAGGCGCTTCACTCATTTAATAGTAAGTAGTAAATCAGACCTATGGCAGTTTGCTATTAACCAGTACACCTCTGACTCTGTTTCTGGCCCTGAGACATTCCGCGAAACATCAACATCACTGCCAGCAGCCGTGGCGCTAGACGCTATGAAAATCACAGCAAAGATGTGATTATGCTTCTCAAAAGGAATGCAGCAGATGACTCCCTAGCACAGGACATAAAACTTGAATGCGGCAACACGTTTTTACTCAGTCATGACTCATTACCTTCCATTCTTCCAGGACCCGGTTCTTGCTTTTCCATTCCGCTATCTAGCACTTCTTGGGCCATGCCCAGCTCAGCCAAGAGCTTTAGCTGCTGTCCTCACACAGAAGCGGAAGGATTACCTGGATTTGGCAGCGGTGCTGTTGAGGAAGTACCCGTGCACGTCAACAGAGCGTGCGTGTAGCTTCTTGTTGAGTCTGTGCAACAATGACCCGCCACAACCTGTCCCAAGATTGAATTGGTTTGAAAGTCCACCTGATGTGGGCCCAAGCATTGATGTGGGTCTTCCCCATGCCCTAGGCAGGATTGCCCCTGTCATGCGTTTCAATGCACAGCTGCGTAGGTGAAAATGATTTATCAAAGAGTGGTTACACTGAGTGGCAATCACTTGGCATAGTGTGTTGGCCATGCTTGGATTACTGCTCTCTGTCTCTGTGGCCCCGAGCTGTACCTAGCTTGCTTTTCGCGAGCCTTAGTAGGTCAACATTTTTTTTTGGGCCGCGTGATGACCAGCCCACATTCAAGCCCGAGGCGTTTTTTGGCACGTGTTACGTTCATTCAGGGGTCACACAAATTAATATGTCGCTCAGGACCCTATTCCTGGCATCTTCACCGTCACAGGAGCTGCTTTGCACTTTGTTTCAGGTCAAGCCACTAAATGTCTATCAGGAGTTCACTGAAGAACCTCTCACCACTTGGTGGCAGAATATGCAGAAGTCACCTACATTTTCGGAAGACAGCCAAGAGCTGGACCCTAGAGAGGACTCACAGGCTAGAGCCCCAGCGCCCTAAGTGTCACGGAGAGGCCCTTGTTTTGAAGTGCCTAGGTGGGTTTGAGAAGGCCTCGCAGGAAACGACAGGCTGTGGAGGTCTTTCTTCTCAGATGTTGGGCTGATGTTGGGGTGATACGTTAGCCATGGCAAGCCAGGTTCCACTCGATGACCACGTATTCGAGGTAGGGAGGGCCACAGGAGTCTGAACCTGGTTCCACCCCTCAAGCGGCAGGCTCTACGTGCAAGCTTCCGCCGAGGGACGTCTTCTTGGAACGCCAGGGCCTTGATGATTGAAGAAGACCCGCCTCAAACACATCTGCGTTGAACATGCTCCCCAGGTTGGTGGCACAAACACCGACAACGAGATCGCAGTGGATTTAGAGGTAAGCCTGAATTTCATGCCTTCCTCTTATGGGATTCTCTCTCTTGCAATCCATGTGCAGGCCACAATCAGCTACACGAACGACGAGGCCACAGCTGATAGATCCGAGGCTCAGTAACTTTCCTTGCAAGCGTTCGACTCAAAGAGATCGAAATTCTAATTTCATGTCCAATTAAGTGTGGTTGTGAGCCACACGCAGAGCTTTAGATCGCACGCTGGAATCAAAAACGCAACACTTGAACTTGTTCAACAGTGCCCTGGTGGTTTCAAGACTTGCCCAGCTGTGGAGGAACATCATAATAGGTGTCAGGCTCTGAGGAACTGTCTGTGCCCAGCAGATTGCCCATGGTGTGCCTCAAAGATGCTGTCGCCCAAGTGGTGCGCGGACAGAACAAGACCTCCAGGCAAGGTTATGAATTCACATATTTGGGAGAGCCAACGATTGATTTGTTCAGGGGGGGATTCCTATAAGCCTGTGAAAAAGGACAATGTCCAAAAGCAGTGCGCACAAGTCTGGGGCCGACTGTTGTGACCATCTAGTGACTCTTAGTGCTCGATTCTTTCATTGCAGGTACTTCTACCCGAAGACCAATGTTCCTGCAGGGAGCCAAAAGCATCCATTTACCTTCCGTTCTGTCCTGGGCACTTACCGGTGGCCAGAGTTGTTTGTGAAGAAGGCCGCGGATAGATTTGGAACCCAGTTCATGTGCCAGCAACTGGCTCGCTGGAAGTGGAACCTCTCAACATGCTTCTCTGGTGTGGGTTGCGCTGAGAGTGTAGAGGGCTCAGCATACTTTCCAACAGATTTACAGAAATCAAATGATGGCAGCTTTCAACGCCTGTCATGATATCTAGAATTATTCAGTCTTACAACTGCTATTATATAAATAATACTAATTGGATGCAGGCAGCACTCTCCCTGCAAGCTGCTGGCCGCTCCTTCATTGAGACACACGCCCAACATGTTTCCGCCACGCCTGTGAAGCACATCAGCCTCACCTCCTGCTGTGAGATCGACAAAGATTGTCAGGAAGTGCTTCGGGCAACGTATGGCAATGCAGGGCATTGCATTTTCAATGACATCCTTCGGATTGATCGTAAAAAGAACCTAGCCTTTTGCGTCAGGCATGACAAGTATTGCCCAGTGCAGAAGCCTGCTACTGGGGGGCCGAAACTAGACATAATTCAGCTATTGGGGATGTATATAGCTAGCAGCTAGTGAACTATTGTAGGTCTCATCGCTCTACCTGCCATCAATGTTTTGATACTGATACTGAGGACTGAATGTCAACGCTTCAGGTTTGGGTCCCAGGAAAGAACCAAAGAATGAAAAACGAATGCATGTGAAAGACCGGTTACACTTAGTTTGCAACACCAAGACAACCACTTTTAAGTCCAAGGAGTTTATTTTTATGGGAATGCCACTTAGGACCAGTATGCACATCGTTTAGCAATATGGGAAAACGACGTGGTGCCCAAGACCCTATATACCTTACCCACAAGAGGTTCTACAGTGACGTCGCCTCGGACCAGGACTTGATCCTGGTCGAAAATGTGACAGAATATTCAGAGAAACACGTGCAGGACGAGTTGGGTTCAGCTTTTGCTCTCACAAGTGTAAAGATTGATCCCCGGATATTCGGGATGGGAGTTGCCAGGGCCCGAATCTACATCATTGCGATTAGGAAATCAAAGTTGCAGTGGCGCAAGGGGTTCTCCATCAAAGACTTCTTGGATTCCCTCACCAGCAGAATGATCCTCTCTGCGTCTAGCTATTTCTGGAAAAAACTTCCATCCCAAAGGCTTTCTGAAAGCGATGAGTCTCAGCCGCGTTTCAACCCTGTCCTGTGAGTGCATGGCATTGCATGGCATAGTTTCCAAGAACCTCAGTATTTGTTTGTGGAATTGTGGAATGAATGTTTTACAACCCCTCCTGCTTGCCCTCCTTATCCCTCCTATAGGCAAACAACCTGGCGGACTACTGTGCCCACCCGAGATGCCAGAAGTATGCTTTTCCAGATTTGACGCAGCTGGCACGGACCAACCGTGGTCGTGGCGAAACTCGTGATTCAGCCCTACCCACTTTGACAACCAATTGCACCAAGTTGTGGAGCAAGGCCTTCCAATTAGTGGGGATGGTGTGTAGTGACTGTTCACCAAACAAGTGAGCCGTACATTCACCTCCAACACCTTCGCAGGCGGACAAGCGCTTCCTAAGCGCTGATGAGCTCCTGACCTCGCAGGTCCTTCCGGTGACCTCAGCGCAATCAAGGTTGCGCAGGGCACCCAAGTTGAATTTTAAACACGTGAGTGAAGCCAAGAAGGCAAGAATGTCTGGCAATGGAATGAACGTTCCGTGCATAGGAAGCATCATTCTATGCTGCGTATTAGGTCTCCAAGAGGTGTGACTGACCATTTAAAGAGAGGTGATGTAATTCAGCTTTAGCCTTTTGCACACTGCTGCCAAATGACTGTACAATGCCTATCATGTGCCACTAAGAGGCTTTTGTGAAAAGTGTGGCGTAGTTTCTTACTGCTTGCAATGTCTAGAGGGGATCGCTTTCAAGGCGTAAGATATCCTGCACACCTGTCTCCCAGTTTTGCCATTGAGCTCGAGACATCGAGATCATCATGGGGAAGCGGCCAGGCGCTCCTGGCGCATCTGGGAGCAAGAAAGGTCCCAAGGTGCAAAAGCATGAACCCCAACCTTGGGCGGAGCTTTTGATGGAACATGCTAGGAAACTCAACTGAATCAATCCTCGCATCAACGCTAGCCGCTACACGTTGCAACTTTGTGCTAAAACTGATCCTAAGGAAGTTTGATGTGGCAAACGGAGACCATCCAGTGAAATACATTCTAAAGAATTTGAAAGTCGAGCTGTACGAGCCACTGCACATTTGGCTTGTGGAGATTTGCCCAGAGTTGGGGGTGGTCCCGCCACCTTTGCCAGTTTCTCAACTAAATTAATCTCTTAGAGAAGGCCCCTATCCTCTAAACCAACTTGTTGGGATTTGGGATCCCAGAGGCCAAAAGCTGTTCACACGACTCTGTCTCTTAGCCAAAAAGGGAATCTCATGCTGGGTTGAGGCCACTGCTGAAATGCAGAGTCTGAGACTCCCAGTTCTTTCGCTGCACTTTCGTGCTCCTTCAGACGGCCTTCCCTTGCTTCAGAGCTGGTTGGAGACCGCTCACGACATCTTCACTTCAGGGTTTGAAGGATGGCGGGAGCCAATCGAAGTTGTATGCCGAGAGACTTCCCAGCTTGGACATGAGGTAAAGTTTGCAGCGGTGCTCCCGACAAAGGGATTGGGAAGGGTATCCATCTTACTTTTTGGTATCTTGTATACGTTTCTGGAGCTCAAGGACAAGGTGACGTCTGATGAGCTGCGAAATGATTTCAAGAGGCACCCAAGGGATCAAAAGGGTCACCTTTAGCAACTTAAATACAGACCGGTTTAAAGGTGAACCTGACGCTGGGACCTTCGCCTTTGCGGTAGGGTACGGTTGAGGTCCAATCATTGAATCGATGCTTGAGATATCACCCGGGACCTATCAAATGTCTAAATCTATCAAGGGGAGAAGGACAATGGTTACAAAACCATGTTTGCCTAACCCAGAAACCCAGGGTAGAAGGTGAGGGTCCCAGTGTCAGGCTCGCCTTCTATGTTGTTTCAGATTGGCTGGTCTAAAGGTCTCCCTTTTGATATCTGCGACCCGAATCCCTGGGTTCCTGGATGCTCTCAGCAGCACTGCTGACTGGCCGGCTGGGGGCTTAGGGGCAGGCTGGCTCCGACTACTAAATACTACTAAAGAGCAGGGCCTGCAGTATCAGGGGCCTGGCTCCGACTACTAAATACTACTAAAGAGCAGGGCCTGTAGTATAGGGGCCTTCGAAATCTTCGTCCCAACACCTCACCAAAGGTGAGGTTTTCGACAGGAACCTCGCCTCGGAGCCGCCCAGTCGATCGAAAACCTCGCCTCGGAGCCGCCCAGTCGATCGAAAACCTCGCCTCGGAGCCGCCCAGTCGATCGAAAACCTCGCCTCGGAGCCGCCCAGTCGATCGAAAACCTCGCCTCGGAG